ATATGAACATTGTGGACCAGTACCTAAGTTTTCAATATATATAACTTTAGAAGATTCTGGAGATATTTATTTTACTGGATAAAGCCAACTTTTACAAATTAAACTGTCTTTTTTAAACAAAGGAGTTAATAAATAATATTCTCAACTGGAGAATGCTGTTAGTTATGTTATTAATAATGAAACAGATTCTAAGCGAGCAAGTTATATTAGGCATCAAGTAGCTTTATTAAATAAAACAAAAAATACACCATTTTCTTTAGAAGACATTTCTGAAGCATTGCATCTTTATTCAAAATCTCGTTTATTATATTTTGATCTTGTTGAAAAGCTTGTTTTGCTACAAATTCTACAAAAAATTTTCAAACAAGCGTGATAGAAGAGATAAATCAACAAATCATAATTGCAGTTGGAAAGCCTCTTGGGTTAATAATGGATAACTGTTGAGTAAACCAAAAAACATTTCAATATTTTAATGCAAAAAAAGTTCCAGCATACTATCTTTTAAATGACACTGTGCATATTTTAAAATGTATTCGAAATAATTGGATCACTGAACAATTACAATGTTTAAAATACAGATTGCTAAATGATAACGATACTGTGCGACTTGCAGAATAGAAATTTATAATTCAACTTCATGCTGCAAATAGTCGAATAGTTAAGTTGTCACCCTTAACACAAAAAGCTGTGTCACCAAAACCGATTGAGCGACAAAATGTTGGATTAGTTCTTAAAGTTTTTTGTGATGAAACAGTTGCAGCATTACATGTATAATTTCCTGAAGCTGAAGATACTGCACTTTTTATTGAAACAGTTGTTAAGTGGTGGCTTATTGTCAACAGTAAAGCAAAAGGTCTAGATATTAGATTAAATGATATTCGAAAAAAGCCTATTTCTTCAGTCAATGATTGGCAAATAGATTTCTTAGAGAACTATATTTCGTATTTTGCTGAAAATTTGAAATGTGTAAATTCAAAATTAAGAGAGAAAAAGTTAACAATGGATACTGCAAGTGCTCTTGCAAAAAACTTCTAAAAGATTAGCAAGCTGTGCCAAGTATTTGTTGAATTGCGGTGTATCTTATGTATTGTTAGGACATATGCAATCAGATGCACTAGAAAAACAGTTTGGGAAATATTGGCAAGGGTCAGGTGGCACATATCTGATAACTGTGCAAAATGTTATTCAAAAATTAGAATCGACAAAACTAGAAAGTTGCTAGACAAGCATACAGATTTTACAATATTTCCTCCTGCTCACCACCACTGTGATAAGTGTGAATTTTATGTTGAGTTTAATATGTCAATATGTGAAAATTGTGAGGATCACTTGCCAAATGAATGCAAACAAGGACTTTTATATATTGCAGGTTTTATTGCTTACAAACTTCCAGAATAACACTCAATTTTAGAAGAAACAGACACCTTTGATATGTTTCAAAAATATGGAACTTTGATCAGTTCTTTGAACAGGGAAAGCCTTCTGACAATTTAGTCTACTTTGTTTTTTATTGTTTTTTATATTTGAAGTGACACTTGTGAATAAAGTTTCACCATTGCTGTGCAAGAAAGGATTAATTGACATTTTTATTAACTGCAATAGCAAATTTTAATTGCTTGTTCAAAGTGTTAAAAAAGTTTGCTGCATTTTGGCAAACATTTTTTTAAACAATTATTGTAAAAAACACTCTAAAGATTTTGGGAAGGAATGTTTAATAAAACAAGCAAAACTTTCAACTTCAAAATAAAACACTTTGAGTCAAAAAAGTCAAAATAATTTTAATAAAATAAAGTTAATATATTTGTTTGTTTTTATCAAAAAATTTATTATTTGTATTACAAGTGTTAAACAGCTAAAATAAACATATAGTTATAAAAACGAGATTTAGTCATTTTTAGCTAAACTCCTTAAATTTTTATTGTAATTAACTTATTTCTAAACGTAAAAAAAATTCCTACAATATTTGCTTTCGAAATTCAATCAATATGTTTTGTCCTAATAAAGCTCTTTATTTGTTTCTGAAGTTTGTTTACAAAAGCAAAGATAAAAAATAATTTTAACCGTAAAAAAGTCGGCCTTCGCTAATTTTACGGAAAATGAGCTGTCGCGGCCTGTTTAAGAAGGCCTTGATATATATAGATATAGATATAGATATAGATATAGATATATATGTATATATATATAGATATATATGTATATATATATATATATATATATATATATATATATATATATATATATATATATATATATATATATATATATATATATATATATATATATATATATATATATATATATATATATATATAGATATATATGTATATATATATATATATATAATATAGATATATATGTATATATATATATGTATATATATATATGTATATATATATATATATATATATATATATACATATATATAGATATATATGTATATATATATATATTTATATATATATATATATATATATATAGATATATATGTATATATATATATATATATATATATATATATATATATATATATATATATATATATATATATATATATATATATATATATGTATAGATATATTTATGTATATATATATATATATATATATATATATATATATATATATATATATATATATATATATATATATATATATATATATATATATATATATATATATATATATATATATATATATATATATATATATATAGATATATAGATATATATGTATATATATATTCATGTATGTATGTGTATGTGTATATATATATATATATATTATATATATATATATATATATATATATATATATATATATATATATATATATATATATATATATATATATAGATATATTTTATTGGCTGAACTAAATCAATATAAACGGCGAATGGCAATTTATTATAAAAACCTCTTTATATAAACGCTACCTTGCGATGTAGCTTTTCTATACATAATGTGTCGGAATTGTATACATTAAAGTAGTATTTCTATACTGTGTTGAGTTTCTATACAAATTTGTCGTATTTTTATACGGTTTTTATAGAAATTCTACACATTTCTCTTGTCAACATCATCATCATATCATCATCATCTTCATCATCTTTATCATCATCATCATCATCTGCATCATTATTATTATCATCATGATTTAGCATTCCTCTTTTATACTGTTTTATAATCATAGTTAATGCCCAAACAAGCTATATTCTCAATTATGATAAACCAAAACTCATTCTTGCTTGGCTTCTTATTAAACATTTTGCACCTTTTACTGTATCTGTTCCTTCATGTTGTAAAACCTTTTATTAATCCAGTTTTTTTGCTTGCAAATCAAAAAAACTTTATAACTCTTACCTATCTTTATGTTTTTCTTTTTTATATAGCCTCCAACTTTTTAAGTCTTTATTTAACTGTTTCCTAACTTTTTAACCTATCCTCTTTTTAAAGTAACTCATAACTTAATAGTGGTTGCTTGCAACGTTGTTTGAACTAATTAGAGTTAAAAATATATAAATATATGCCAGTATTTTCTAAATAGTAAATGTAAGTATAAAGTTATAATATGTAAAAAGTTATAATTTTTTATCTAGCCGCGGCTATCAATCCCTGCTAAGCTTTATAATTTGCCAGGGTGGGGCTGGGGACAGGTTTTCAAAAAGTCTTATTTTTAGCCAGGGCCACAGTTACTTCCAATTTGCATGGAATACTGTTGCCATATCTGGAGCTGATCTTCGAATGATGCCCAAGGTGCAAAAACGCAATGTAAACATTGTTGGACCTGCTCTTAAAGCTAACCTTTAACCATTGTCACATGTTCATAATAATGCTTCTTTTTCTCATTTCTATAAATACTATAATATGTGCAGCTCTGAAGCGCTAGTGTCTCTTGTGCCATCTACTTAAATTTATCCTTTTACTGTGACTGTTCCTAAGTGCTCTAAAAATTCTTTTTTGTCTAGTTTATTTTCTTGAATATCAGTTCTTTATAATTGGCTCCCTTAATCTTGTTTTTCTGTTTCATATAATTTTCACTCTTTTAAGTTGTATATTAATTTTCTAACTTTTATAAACTTCAACTTTTCTCTTATCGCAACTTTCAACTAAAATAGTGGTTTTTAGCAGCCTTATTAAATCTTTTTAAAAATTATTTAATAATAAGTAATTGACTTCAACTTAAAGGAGTAAAATCAAATGAAAATGATTTTTTGATTCAGCTGAATAAATACGTATGTATATAATGAATATATATGTTTTATAAACAGCGCTGAAAGTTAGAAATCAAAGGCAAGAAATAATTTGACCCTAAAATAATTGCCTTAACACTTGCGGTTGTCTGTGAATTAGTTATTTGTTTGTTTTTTTATTGAAGTTTTTATCTAAGTAATAGCTTTTCACAACTTAATTTTATAAAAACAAAGTAATTCAATGCTTCAAAAATAACCAATTTATTTTACTTAAAAAAAAATATTTTGAAATAAAATCAATGCATTTTTCAATCAATATTTTGAAATAAAATCAATGCATTTTTTAAATGTGCAAATGCGCAAATAAAAATTTTTAATTTTTTTCGAAATAAAATATTTTTTTAACAGTAATTTTGCAAGCGGCACAAAAAAATGCTATGAATAAAATGAATAATAAAAAGATTTTATATGACTTTTTTTAATTGTCTATTTAGTACAGCTATTTAGTACTGATTTTCTTTTAATGTATGATATAGTTAGTGATGTTTTACAGAAACCAATACCTTCAGTCAATGTATGTATACTTGCTATACCTTTACCTATAAAACTCAATGAATAAATCTTTGATGCTTGTAAATAGTTTTTAGCTGTCATACATTAAGTTTTATTTTAGTTTAAAGTCAATTTAGTTTAAAAGATACATATCAGTTTATAGCAATTTTTATTTTGTTTTTTTATTAAATATTATACTTTTTTTTTAATTTTAACTTTTTCTCTCTTTTTTTTTTAATTAGAAAATTTTTTATATTTAGTGTCAAGAAATGAATTGACTGCTGATGATTTTATTCCATATTGTTGTGAATTAATAAGCAATAAAATTGGAAGTGATTGGATTCAATTGGGAAGACATTTAGGCTTAAGTGATTCAGATCTTAAATATATTGACTCTTATAGTATAGACTCTTATAAGAAAGCTGATAAGGTTTTAAAAACATGGAATCAAACTAATGGGCATATTTCATGGGAGCTATTAAAAAATGTGTTGATAGCTTTTAAACGTTTAGATATAGTACTTGAACTTGAGAGGAAATTAGAAGGTAATATCAACAAAATAGTAATATTTTTTATTCATTTTTTTACTGTTTTGTTTAAATAGACAATTTTTTTCATTGTTTTGTTTTAAATGTCATAAATATCTGTTAAATTGAAATAAATTGTTGTTTTTATAAATATTGATATGCCCTAAATTTTTTTTTGAATGTTGAAAATAAATTTATGGCATTTTATATAGTTAGTAATATAAATTCACTGTGTAATATGAATTCACACACACACACACACACACACACACACACACACACACACACACACACACACACACACACACACACACACACACACACACACACACACTCACACACACACACACACACACACGCATATAAATATATATATATATATATATATATATATATATATATATATATATATATATATATATATATACATATATATATATATATATATATATAGATATATACATATATATATATATAGATATATATACATATATATATGTATATATATACATATATATATGTATATATATATATATATATATCTTATATGTATATATATACATATATGTATATATATATATATCTTATACTGCTGAGTTAGGTGAGCATGATGATGTCATACTCACCTAATATCAAATAGCCTGCTGCCGGGGGCTTCAGTACATACATTGACTGACAAATAGCCTGACTCGTAGTTAAGTGCTGCTACATCGACTGAGGGTTTGGTATGGGTCAGCAACCTTTTCATTCATTATTCTTCGTTTTCCCTCATCGTTTTCTAAAAACGCTCACTTATTTTAGGCTAGCAAAAAAAGTGAGCAATTGCGCATATAAATAAATGCTATAGTAGTACACAACCTTTTGATTGTAAGAGTTAAAATGTTAAGTGCAAATTAATCAGAAGGGTAAGTCTGAATGGGTCTTTGGGGAGGAAGGGGCAATGTATTGATTTAAAAAAAGTTATACATACAAATATAGATAAAATCAACAACAACACTTATATATCTTTGATAACAGTACATCTATTTGTATTTATGTTTAATCTTGTCTCTTTAATGTTGGTTAAAATTTTCCACGATTACTTTCTCTGCATTTTTTAGCAAAGTTACTTAATTCTTGGATTTGGTTTTTAAGATCATTGCATTGAATAAAAACAATCACTTTTTTTAATTTATAAAAGATTTTAATTTTTGTAAAAGGCTATATTTATAAATAACTTTTTTTTTTTTTTATAAATAAAACTTTTTTCGACTTATTATTATATTTCTTCTGATTTCATGTTGTAAATATTCCTGTAAAATTTTTATATTTACTTTTGCAGACTTAATATTTACAGAAAAAATTTTAATTTTTTAATTTTTGGATAATTCGATCACCAGCAATATTTAAACCTAAGAAATTCAAACATCAAGATTATTCAAGAAAACACTTTTTACTCTTTTTGATTTAAAAAAGTATGCATCCTTACTTCTGCAACTAAATTTAGAAACAATTATAATATTTATATATATATATATATATATATATATATATATATATATATATATATATATATATATATATATATATATATATATGTATATAAAAAGAGTTTAATTATTTGAAACAATACAACTTTGTAATGGAACTTAAAGTTTCATACCCTTTGGCAATCATCAGCCATATTTTATTATTTAACTTAAGAAAAAATCGTTAAAAAATACAAAATACAGAAACTAACAGAAAAAAACCATAACAAAGCAATGGAATGAGTTCTGACGTCAAAAAATCAATTTTTTAATTAATTAAAAAATTGCTCAATCACCTGTCGAATAGGGCAAGAAGGAACTTGTTTTGATGCCTGGAACTTGTTTGGATACCATTTTCACTGTTTAGCAGATTTTTATTTTTGGAAAATAGAATTTCATATTTTTCATATGTGTAGTTTGCAGGACTTCATGGTTGTAAGCATTGCACTGCCTAATTAATTTTCATTTGACAACTGGGTTCAAGTTGGCTTCTTTAACTTTCCAAAGTTCTTTTGATAATTCGGTGTCATTTTAGAATATTAATTGATTTAATATGGTTGGCAAATCTAATTTTGAATGGTGTTTCACTTATACCGATGTAGGATTTGTTGACAGGAGTGTTAGTAGGATTATTGGAATTTATATTGGCTTGGTATACAATGTTTTTTGTTAAGCATTGGTTTGATAAAGGGCAGGTATTTTTATTTTTATTAGGCAATTGCAGTTGGTTTTAGTTGGAAATTTGTTGTTGTTCATAACTTGTTGATTGTGTGCATTTAAAAAAGATTTCGTATCCGGCATACAGCTGTAACTTAATTTTATCGATTTTCTATTAAAAATTTTGTGGAGTCTGTGATTAATCAGAAAGTTTTTATTGGTTAAGGTTAAAGAACTTTTTTCTACATTAGTGCTAACATTTTTGCTGAAAGGAGGGTTGAACCATATGCTGTTTCGTTTACGATTTTTGGTATGTGGTAAATTTAAATTAGGGCGATATGAAAGTTTGTGATTACCGGAACTTAATAGCACGTCATTGTACATAGAAGTAGATCTTCAGAAGATTTCTTCACTTGAGGAATTTGCAGACTATCTTAACTTAATTGAATGCGGAAGCTGTTTTAAAAATATTAGGCGGGTGGTTTGAATCAGCATGAATATAGTTTATGAAATTCCTGGGCTTAGAATATTGTTGAAAAGTATTGTCGTTATATATATATATATATATATATATATATATATATATATATATGCATGTATTTTTAATGTTTCTTTAGAAAAAAAGTGTGTGTGTGTGCGGGGCAGTGCCCCCTTGGTATATCCCTCCCCTCCCTCCATGGTGTTGTAGAAAATGTATAAACATTTAAATTTTTAAACAAATTTTTTTTTACTTTGTCCAACCTCCTAGAAGTTTTAATTACAATAAATGGTGTTTATTAATGTATATCTAGCTATTGGGAAAAAAAAATCAGACCTGAGGAGCAAGTTATTCTGCTGTTCACTCCGGTCCATGGTGCTTATATTTAAACTATAATAATTTGGTGTTAATGTTTTTAAATTTTTTATTTATCGTTTTTTCAAGATTATAGTTTTTTCAAAAGTAACCTTAAGCGTAAAAATTTGTTAAAAATTATAATTTAAATAAACATTAAATAATAACATTAAATAATAACATTAAATAATAACATTAAATATAATAACATTAAATAAAAAAAGGTTTTTGGAAGTTTTGAGGTAATGTAAATATGTATACATGAACCAAACAACATATGAGTGTATATATAAATATATACAGATCAGGGGCGAGTTAGACATAGAACAAACTCCAAATATTTATTTGTTTATACTTATTTTAAATAAGGATGACTAAACATTGCGATGATTGGAGCCTGGGAACAAAGGAACCCTAAATTTTTGATAACAACTACCTCAAATGTGAGAGCAACAAGTTGACAAAATATACTTTTCACTATTCTCAAATAATATTATATTCATCAATAAATTTCAACTTTAATAGTATAATCTCTCAGCATTCAAAATTTATGACCATATAAAATTTAAATCCCCCTCAACTTGAGGCAGTTACAAATTTTATATGGTCATAACTTTTGCATGTTATCTCAAACACCAAAAAATGCTGGATCTGCCCCTGCATATGCATTACACAGGAAGAATGTGCAAATGTTTGTTTAAAAAAAGGGTAGTAAAACAAATGTCATGTTTCTTTACTTTTACTTATGGAAATATTGGTTTTTGATTGAAAATTTTCAAAGCAAACACATCATTTTAGCAGTTTCCACATAATTATGTGATAGATAGTTTTTTATTTATTATAAAAAACACATATTTATAATAAAAAACAATTAGTTATTAAAATTAAAAACACATTTTAAAGATTTTGAAAGAAACCATGCTAAAACATGAATACTTTCTTCAATAGGGTATAAGTAAAATATTTTAAGTAAAACTATTTTAATACTTAACTGCTGTTAGTAATTATGAATTTAAATATTAGATATAAAAATATTGAAGATTTATTTGACTAAAAGAGTATATCAAGAGTATATTTTTGAATAAATTTCTTGTGAAGAAAATCAAAAACCATGTCTTAAAACAATTAAATCAGATGCTCTTTGACGGTAATATAATGTAAAATTTTATACAGAAGTATACTTCCAGAACTTGTAACAAATATGAAATTGTTTGAAAAAACTAATAACAATCGTATTGTAAAAAAATCCTTAATAGATGAAAGAGTTAATCAGTTTTTTGTAAATATGGGCTCTTTATCATCAAATGATAAAGAAACTATTCAAGTACATTTTGATTCATACTTAAACTAAGTCTACATTAATGTATGTCTAATTATAAACTTACAGAATAAAAAGTCTCTTTGTTAAAGCCTAATTAAAGGTTAGGATTTGATGATATTAGTATTAATGTCATTATCAAATCAATAAAACAAAATAACAATTCTATAATTACACTTATTTCATATTACGTTATTGAATTTAACTAATTAATAACTAATTACGCTATTATTTTTTGCGTTAAAAGCATAATATTTTGCATGCAAAATTTTACTTAAAATGAATATATTCACATTTACTTTGAAAGAAAACCTTATTAAAACATTATGATTGCTTTCTTCTATAGAATGCTTTTTTTAAATTTTCTTATTTATATTAAAGTAAAGTAATGTTTATTTGCATATTAAAAACACATTTTAAGTGTTTTGAAAAATTTTTTTAAGTTTAGCTAAAAGATATATAATCTAATAGAATATGTAGAATTATTATGTTTATTTTAGTTTTCATTTTTTTTTTGTACGTTTAACACAGCCGATAACACATAATTTTCATTAACTTCTTATTAAATACTTAGGGGCAGTTTATATGGATTGGGTTGGCTCTGTTAATGTGGCTGTCTCACCTTGGTGAGATGAATATTGTTAATATGTTTATATTGACTTTTTGTAACCTGCTAAATGTTTGCGTTATGTTTACATCATGTGCCTACTTAAAAAAATGAAAAGCTGGAATATAGCTTCCTTACCATTACATAAACAAATTCTTTAAAAATGATCATTGTACAAGCTATTAATATTTAAATTCATATTTTACAATTTACAATGGCTATTGAAAAGGGATTTAAATCAGTTAATAATTTTTGATTTAATGAGTTCTAGGTGTGTCGCATATTAAGAAGATTGAGACTAGCTAAAAAAATTCTTACTCATCAAATATAAGAGCAATCCCACCAGATAAAAAAGTTACTATAACACTATAATATTTAAAAGGCAGTGGTACAATGAACATGACAGCAAACACTTTTGGAATTGCAGTTTATACTACTTCAGCAGTCATTTTTGAAGTTTGTAATGCTATAGTAAATTATTTAGGACTAAGTTTTGTTTATTTACCAAAATAAAATCAGCAAATAAAAGAAAAATTATCTGAATTTAATCAGCTAATGAGAGAAAAAATATCTGATCAAAGTTTGAAATGATTCAAGATTGATTGTATTGACGGAACTCACGTTCCTATTGACTGTCCAACTAATCGTTCCTTACTTGAACCTGTAATGAATAGTATTGTTTGTAACAAAAATAATCATGATTATTTTTGTTACAAACAATACTATTCATTACAGGTTCAAGCAGCTTGTGATTACAAAGGCATTTTTTTTGGATGTTGATTGTTGTGGCCTTGTAGTGTGCATGACGTTAAAGTCTTTTCAAATTCTTCTTTTAATACTAATTTGAGATGTTCAAGGCCTCTAGGAACCTTCCAAACTATTACTAAGAAAAAAAAAAAAAGTTTCATCCACATTGTATTAAAGAATATAGTACTTGGAAGAAAAATGAATAAGTCATTTTTAAAACTATGTTGAAGACTGGACACAACCCAATAGCATGCGCATTTTGTCGACTTGAAGCACGTTGGAAAAATTTGACAAAAATAATGGATTTAAAACTTGAAAAAAATTCCAACATAATTTATGCTTCATTTATTTTACATAATTTTTGTGAGCTACACAATATCTGTATTGAGGTAAGAGTAAGTAAAAATACAAGGTATGGTAATAAATAAAAATGAAAAAAATTTAGAAATTTACCAGATCAAATTTGATCTTGTATTGACGGTCAAGGTGAGTTTATTTGCAAAGTATTAACTAAGTACATTAATGAAAATTATTTTCAAAAGCAAACTGTTTACACAAAATAAAATCAAATATAACAAAAAAAATACTCATCTTTTAAAAAAATATTTTTTTATATTTTTGTTCCAGTTTCATTATGATTTTGTGTTTGATAAGTTATTGTTTAACATGTTTGAAAAATAAAATTTATTGTTGTAATAAAACAGTGAATTTTTATTATAAGCTTTTCACAACATTATTTGTGGGTATTTTAAATAGGTTTCTTAGAGATTTTTAGTCACTAAAAAAAGTATCCATGACTTAAATGAAACACTCAGTGAAACAAATTTAAGTTCTGCAATTCCTTCTTCAGATGTCAGAGTTGATGGGTACTATCCTTTGATTCGTAAAGACTCCAATAGTCACATGCTAGGTTTAAGGGTACACATACGCATTAATTCCCCTATTTGTCGTGAAATCAGGTTAGAATCCTTTGACCATTCTTTTATGTGCTTTCGCCTAGCACCTCTTCAATCACCTTTCTCTTTGTTCTTTATCGTTTTCCTTCTTCCCATGATTGCACTCTTTTAGATGTTATCTCTGATCAAATTGACCATGCCCTCTCTCTTTACCCCTCTGCCAATATTGTTGTTGTTGGTGATTTTAATGCCCATCACACTGAATGGCTTAGCTCTAACACCACTGATCCTGCTGGCACTAAAGCCTTTAACTTCTGCGTTTCTCAATCTCTTACTCAGATAGTTAACTTTGTAACTCGTTTTCCTGACAACCCTAATCATTTACCTTCACTCCTTGACTTATGTCTTGTCTCTGACACTAGCTTATGTTCAGTTTCTCCCTTTTCTCCCTTAGGTGGTTCTGACCATGCAATGATCTCTATAAATCTTTCTTCTCTTACTTCTTTTTTGGGCTCACCTTATCATCGCACCACCTACTACTACCCTAAAGCTGACTGGGATTCCTTTAGTGATTTTCTTCGTGATGGTCCTTGGGCTGATGTTTTTTCTCTCTCAGCTGACAAATGCGCCTCCTACGTAACCTCCTGGATTCAGGCTGGAATGGAAGCTTTTATTCCTTCTCGTCAGTTTCAAATCAAGCCTCATTCTACTCCATGGTTTTCTTCTTCTTGTGCGGCTGCTATATCCAATCGTAACCATTTTTTTTATCTTTTTCAAAAGAACAACTCTCTTGAGAACAAACGGCTATTTATTATTGCAAGAAATCGATGTAAAAAGGTGCTTTCTGATGCTAAACTCCATTATTCTCAGTTCACTAAATATCGCATCTTATTGCAGAAGTTAGGCTCTAAAAACTTTTGGAAAATCTTCAACAGCATTGTTAACAAGAGTAGATCTAACATTCCATCTCTCATTCATGGGACTGATCTTGTTACCTCTCCCAGGGATAAGGCAGAACTGTTTGCAAAGAACTTTTCTTCTAATTCCACTCTTGAATCTTATGGACATTCTCTTCCTTCCATTCCAGTCAAACAGGTTGACCCATTGTTAGACATTCAAATCACTCCGGCTTCTGTTGCTAAAGTCATATCTCAATTAAACTCTTCTACAGCTTGTGGTCCAGACAACATTCCTGTCACAGTCTTGCAGAATTGTTCTCCAGAACTTTCTTCAATTCTCTCTAAACTATTTAACAAGTGTTTGACTGAGTCTTGTTTTCCTGCTTGTTGGAAAATGGCATCTGTGGTTCCAATATTCAAAAACTCTGGAGAAAATTCTGACCCCTCCAATTATCGTCTGATCAGTCTTCTTTCTGTTATTAGTAAGGTCTTTGAGTCTTTGATCAACAAATTCCTCACATCTCATCTTGAGTCAAATAAACTGCTGTCAGACAATCAATACGGTTTGGCATGCTGGTTTTCTCCATAAGCTTGCTTCATATGGTGTTTCTGGGAAAGTTTTTGAGATTATCAAATCATTTCTTTCTGACCGGTTTATTAAAGTCGTCCTTGAAGGCCAACACTCTTCTTTATTTCCATTAACTTCTGGGGTTCCCCAAGGTTCCATCCTGGGCCCTGTTTTGTTTCTTATCTACATAAACAATCTTCCTGACAACCTTTCATCTAAAGTAGCTCTTTTTGCTGATGACTCAACTTTATACTCTTGTCTTGACAAAAAGTCCTCTCTTTTCGATTGCCTAGAACAAGCAGCTGATCTTGAATCCGATCTCACTTCAGTAATAGATTGGGGTTCACAGTGGCTTGTGAATTTCAACTCTAAAAAAACCCAATTGCTTACTGCAAACAACTACCGTAGTATGGTCAACATTCCTATATTAATGAATGGCAATCCTCTTACTGAGTCGTTCTCTTTACGTCTTCTTGGATTATCGCTTACTACTGACCTTTCATGGAAATTATATATACAATCGATTGCTAAATTAGCTTCTGCTAAGGTTGCTTCGCTTTATCGTGCTCGCCATTTCCTTACTTCTGATTCCATTCTCTACCTCTACAAATCTCTTCTTCGTCCCTGTATGGAATACTGTTGTCATATTTGTGCTGGTTCTTCTAACAATTCACTTTCTCTTCTTGACAAGGTCCAAAAACGCATTGTAAATGTTGTTGGACCTGGACTATCTGCTAAGCTTGAACCTCTTTCCCATCGTTGTAAAGTTGCATCTCTTTCTCTTTTCTACAGATACTATCATGGTCACTGCTCAAAGGAGTTATCATCTCTAGCTCCATCAACTAAAATTCATTCTCATTTTACTCGTCATTCAGCTAAGTCTCATTCGTTTACTGTATCTGTCCCTGCATGCTCTAAAAACTTTTATTCATCTAGTTTTTTTCGCCGCACTTCAATCCTTTGGAACTCTCTCCCATCTTTATGTTTTCCTGACTCATACAACCTTCAACTTTTCAAGTCTTCTGTCAACCGTTTCCTTGCTCTATAACTCTGTTCTTTTTTTTTCCTAGTAACTTCCAACTTAATAGTGGTTGCTTGCAGCCTTGTTGAGAGTGAATGCAAATTTAAAAAAAAAAAAAAAAATACTGCTTAAATCAAAGGCATCATTTGTTTTTAATTTTCTCGAGAATTAAACTCTTGTATTATAATGGTTGTTTAAACTTCCACAAGCTTTACTTGTTTCATTATTTTTTTTATAATTAAGTTCCAGCATTTCACTTTTGTCAGACATTTTTAACAATTTAAAGTTTATTAAAAACAAACACACATGCGTAATATGAAGAAAACTGTCTTTCGTTGGTGGGATCCCACTCTAATCAAGTGAGATTTTAGTTACACAGTCTAGCCCATTTGTCATGTAAAAATGTTTAATTTTTATAAGTAAATCTTAAAGCTTGCAAGATAGAGTTTATATAAATGGGTTACCCCAGTTCATATTAAAGTCCCTTAATATTATTATTATTTTTTAAAGTTTTAAAAAAGAAATGTCTTAACCAAATTTTTTTAGTTACTTTTGCTTTAATTGCCTCAAGTTTATGTTTTTTTTATGAGTAATCAAATTTAAAAAACTAAATTAAAAATATAATCACTATTTAATGTCGATGGATATCACTATTTAGTGTCAATGGCTTTCTTTATTTTTGAAAATTAGTTTTTTCTGCAAAGTATTGAAAAGTATTATTTAGATATATCAGAGATAAGCACAGAATTCAAATATTATTATCTTGTATATTATTGGAAAATATATAAAATTAAATAACCTTTTTTTTTTAATAACCTTTTTATTTGTTTAGATTTGTTAAAAATTGTTTTTTTTTTAATTTAGATTTGTTGGTGTCTGCTAAACTAAAACATTTTTATCTTGAAAGATATGGGAAAATTTATGAAGTTCAACCACCCTTAAAAGCACCTGTAAAAGTTGATCTAATACATAAGTTTACTGATTTATGTATTGTTGATGCAGCCGAAACTCGAATGGATGCTGTACTTAGTGTTGAAAGAAAGGAATTTCTTGAAAAGCAAATTCGTTATACACCAGTTACATACAGTGAAATATTTATGCGAGAAAAATCTGTAATATTAATATCTGGAATAGCTGGTATTGGAAAAACATGGTTGCTTAGAAAATGTTTGCTTGATTGGTCAAATGGTTTAATTTGGAAAAATGTTGAACTTGTTTTTTATTTAGAATGCAGGAAGATTAATCAATATGAAAATATTTCTACTATTAATGATTTGCTAAGCGTTTTTTACAAAGATATTATAAGTAACTTCAATATTAGTATTCATACAACACTGTTTATTATTGATGGGTTAGATGAGTTTAAATTTTTTAATGAGTTATCAAATCCAGGATTAAAATGTAACTATCCAATTGTTAATGTTTTAGCAGAAATTCAAAATTATAAACATTTAGTTGCTGGTAGAGTTTATGCAATAGATCAATATCAAAGTATATATACAGATCGTAGTGATAAGTATACCATTCAAATAATGGGGTTTAACAAAGATGGAATAACAAATTATGTAGAAAATAATGTTAATGAAGAAAACAAAGAAATTGTAAAAGCAACTTTAAAGGAATCTCCGATTGCAAAAGCTATGGCATCAGTTCCTTTTTACTTATCTTCCATGTGTAAAAATATAAGTGATTCAAAAAATATATACAAACATTCTTTCTTAACAATGACAGATCTGTATGCAAATATTTTTTTATATTTTTTGCAAAAACACATCATTAAAGACAATAAAACGTTTTATCAGATAATGGAAAACGATTCTAATAAAAAATATATTTTAATTATTTGTAAAATTGCATTTAAACTTCTTGTTGAAAATAAAGTAATTTTTTCCAAAGTAGAGTTTCAAACTTTTGTTAGTGGCTTTGATAATGAAGGTAATTTTTTAAATGAAGGTAATTTTTTTGGATTTATAGAAAAGATTGAAACAAATCTGGGTTGTTATTATCAGTTTGCTCACTTGACGATAATGGAGTTTTGTGCATCTGTATTTGCATATAATTGTTTAAGTAGTGATAAAATTATGACTAATAAAAAGCTGAAGAGTTGCTTATCAATGATTTGTGGATTAGCCAATAAAAACCAAAATAGTTGTATAAAGTTTCTGAACCTGAATCCTTCAAAAAATTTTCTTAAAGAATCACTACCTTTGTTTTTAATTTTTGGTAAGGAGATAAATTTTGTTGCACAATTGTGAGTCATTTTAGATAACAATACATGTGTTTATTAAGATAAAATATATAAATTTTTACTTGGTTTTTATTTAAATGAATATTATTTCTGTTGATAGTTTTTTTTTTTTTTTTCAAGCAAATAAGGTATTTTAGTTTATATTACTTTCACATGTAAAAGTAACTAATTAGGAATAACAGCTCATATAAAAGTAATTTGAAAAAAATTGTTTACTTTTACAAATAAAAGTAAATTTTTTCTTTGAAATTTTATACTTTACTTTGTAAGTAAAATGTAAGTTATATTATTTACTTTTTCAAAGAACAGTCACTTCATGTTGATTTAACATAAATTTCAAGATAGGTTGCGTATTCAAATTCATTGCCTGTTTGAGGGCGCTTCTAGGTAATACTTCAGGTAATACTCTGATGTATGTGGGCAGTGTTTGTGGTGGGGCATTAGGAAAGAATTTTTTTTTTTTCACGTATATCATAAAGGGTAGTTCTATTGTAAATAGGAGCAAATATTGTCAACATGCGGGTATACCAGTAGTGTAGAGACGGGCTCCCTGATACGTGAGTGCTAATAGGGGCTGCTAAATTATCATAAATAATTGGTTAGTGGCCATAATGAAACTTTGTTTGAGTAGGAAGATGGAAAGAGGGTATAATTTCTAAGATATGAGTAATTGATATGAGTAATGATATAGCCGTCAAACAGGTTGATCTACTGCTCGACATCGGTATCACTCCAGCTTCTGTATCTAAAGTGACTTCCTGCTTAGACTCTTCTACAGCTTGCGGCCCGGACAACATACCTGTTATAGTCTTGCAGAAGTGTTCTCTGGAGCTGTTGTCTATCCTTTCAAAACTATTTAACAAGTGCTTATCAGAGTCTTGTTTTCCAGCCTACTGGAAAGCAGCATCTGTTATTTCTATTTTTTAAAATTCTGGAGAGCGATCTGATTCGTCTAACTACCGTCCCATTAGTCTTCTTCCTATCATAAGCAAGGTTTTTGACTCTTTAATTGAGAAACACTTAATCTCGAATCTCGAATCTCACAACCTACTTTCTGATCATCAATATGGATTTTGATCTTCTCGTTCTACAGCTGATTTGCTAACAGTAATAACCCATAGGTTTTATCGCGCATTAGATAAAGGTGGAGAGGTTAAGGCCATCGCTCTTGACATTTCTAAGGCATTTGATAAAGTTTGGCATGCTGGTCTTCTCCATAAGCTTTCTTCTTAGGGTGTATCTGGAAACATCTTTAAAATTATCAAATCCTTCTTTTCGCATCATAGTATAAAAGTTGTCCTCGATGGACATCACTTTTTTTTCTTATTGGACTTACTTTTTTTTCTTACGGCGATCAAATCCGTTGCAAAATTAGCAGATGCTAATTTTGCAACGGATTTGATCGCCGTAATGTTGCTTCTCTTCTTCTTTTCTACAAATACTATAATGGGCATTGCTCTAAACAGCTAGCGTCTCTTGTGCCATCTACGAAAATTCATTCTTGTGTTACTCGTCATTCAATTAAGTCTCATTGTACATACATTAAGTCATTGTACATACATAAAGTCTCACTGCCAAAAATTGTAAAAAAATTAAATCTCAAAACAACAAACTACGCAAAGTAAAGTCAAACTTTACCAACAATAGTAAATGCAAATATTTCTCGAGAAATGAAACAGTAAATGTAATATTTAGGACATAATTTTCTCACCGTGTGTTTTTTGAGGTAATATCCTCAAATAATGACTGTATATGTTGTGTATGTAGACATGTGCGTGCAGCACAAATTATTGTTTTATCCTCTTTGTTTAATGCATCTTGAACTTGTCTCGGAAATGATGGCAGAGGATACCTGATAAGCCAGTTACTAAAAGATGATGGCCTGTCATTTTTGACTGCGACGACAACATCTCTGGCATCACTTTTATTGTTTACACTAGGAAATACAATAAAATCTAATGTACTAGTTATTAGATAAAAATACATTTTTACGTCTGCTAACATCTATGAATTTAGTAACTAAGGGTCAATAATGTTACATGGTTGACAAACAAACAGTTCTATATCTTCTTTAACAGAAAATGCATGCAAATGTTCAGAAAACTGTTCACAAATAGGTACTTTTCCAATAAAAAAATAACTTTCTTTTAATTTATAAATGTACATAATTAATTAAAAAATGTACATAATTAAAAAATGTACATAATTAAAAATGTACATAATTAAAAGATAATTTAAATTACATAAATATTTAAAGTACATAATTAAAGTACATAATTTAAGAATGTACATAATTAAAAAATGTACGTGAATAATTAAAAAAAAGAGGGATTTCTTCTTCATGCAGTGTTCCAACCAACACAACATCATAAATCTTATACTTAACAGAGTCAATGGTAAGTTTATTGCACTTCCACAAAACCTCTGAATCACTGAAATTTGAGAAAAACAAATAATTTTGGATCGATGACATTCTGGGAGATTATTAAAATAAATTGAACATTCTCTCTGTGATTTCCTTCAAGAAACTAGAAGCTTCGAACTCTCAACATTGATGAAGTTGGTGATGCTTTGCTAAGATATAAGCAATACCTCTATTTTTAAAATTTATATTTTTAAAAACTGTAAGTTTTTTAAAATATTGATTAAACGAGCATGATGCAACAAAAAATGCAATTTTGGTGTCAGCTTTCCTGGATATAATTCAACAAATGTTTGAACAAAAGATTCAACAAGCAGCTGCAAGTATGACAAAACAGTCAATCCACAATATCACGTAATAATAGATACAGTTTCCAGTGCTTGTTGTTTCTAAGAACTTAATCTCCAATCAAAAATGATAAAAACTAAAAAAGCGTAATTTTTTCAGATGCTCTGCCGACAATACTTCCAGTACCAGATGGTACTGTCAAGAAAATTTACATAAAAAATTTTTAATTTATTTGACTGTGAAATTCTAAACTTTAAAATATTTTTTAGAAATTTATTGAAACATTCTGTTCACTTGAAATCTGTATTTTAAATGTTTTATAGTATTAATTTGTTTATATGTATATATATTTAAACACAAATGTATTTATTTTTAATAGTATAAACTAAAACTATTTAATAATATTTTTGTTTTTATTCAACTATAATTTAATAATAATATTACATATAAATATAAATAATTTTATAATATATTTAATATTAAAATTTGGATTTTTACTTTATTATTTATTTGTTTATTTATTTTTATGATTAATATTTATTTTTACTTTAGATCGTCTAAGTAAAAGTGATGACTTTAATGATTACCACAGTTTGTTTATTGAGTGTTTTTATGAAAGTGGATCGTCGTTTACTGATGAAATAAATTCAATTGTTGATAAACGAGGTTGGGTTGTTTCGATTAAAGTTGGAAAAACTTCTTACGATACTTCTTGCGAAAATTATTTCGTAAATCATTACATTAAATCTGGAAGAAAGTTATCGGAGTTACATGTTGATAAAAATATTTTAAGTAATGAAGAAAAAAATCTTTTAATTCAATGTTCAGTTAGTGTTCGCGTTGTCGAATTCCATCGTCCAACTAAATTCGAAGAGTGGAAACCGAAAGATAAGATTGAAGTGTTAAGGATATCCATCTCAGATTATTTATTAACAAAGAAAGATTTTGAAGAAATTTTTTTTCCGTGGGTTGATCTTTGTGAAGAATTAGTTCTTAGACTTCACGACGATATCGATTTTTTCAAAGACTTTTATAAATGGATTCGACACTCAAATATCAAGAAGTTTAAGATCAACTACCGTGGAAAAGATTTTCGCAATCTATAATTTTCGAATGATATAAGAAAACGTAATAACGCAGGAAAATGTTTCATATTTTAAAAACATAAAATAAAAATAATAATTTTAAGTAATTAGTGATTTGTTTTGTGAAATTTTAAGTAATTAAATTTTAAGTAATTAGTGATTTATTAGTGAAATATTTTTTGTATTTTTTATAATTAAATATGTTTATACGAATTTACGAATTAGTTTTACTAGAAAATTAGTCTTAAAATCGATAAAAAGTTTCATGAATATCTTATTATATTCTAAAAGCCCGTGGCATCCAGACCTACTCTTATTTTTAAAGGCTGAAAGTTTCTCAAGGATTTAAAGTACCTTTAATAAATGTAACTTTACTAACGTCATAGTATAAAAGATGAAATTAGTAGAGGTTACTTGGGTAACTATTACATTAGCCAGACATTTTTAGCAGTTATAACGCTAGCAAAAAAAACCATGTTTATTTTTCTAGGGGCTAGAATTCTACAAATTGTATGGCTAATGAGAAAACATTTTATAATAGTTATCCAAGAACGAAAACTTAAGTTGCTTAACTGAAAATAATTACTTATTAAATAGTTTCTATGACCATTCAATAACTTTTGTTGTCTGAGATAGATGAAAATTGTAAAAAAAATTAATTGAAATGTATTTTTTATAGCAGGGTTAGGTTTAAAAGAGGGGGGTTGGGGGAGGATAATGAGCAGTCACCTCGTCCTTATTTGTCGTATTTACTTTTCAAGACAAGTATTATTATACTAATAACCTTTACTAGCTGAGATTGGTCCCGTAAAAATACGGGTGTTTGTAAGTCTATTCTGAACCAAAATTTTCTATACTTTTTCCCTATACATCCATTTCTGCCCTGATTATTTACATACCTATTCCTTATTTAACTCAATATTTTTTAGTAAAACAATTTATTCTGAAAAAATCATTCAAGAGTAGAAAACTTAACATTATTATTAAAGGTGCATTATTACTTATGCTCCTTTTCGGCATATGTAGAGCTTATAAAAGACTTGAAATTAGGTTGATATTTCTATTAAATGCATTTTATTTTGATAACTCAGGAGTTACAGGGTTATTCATTCGTATATGCGCGTTTTTTCATTTTTATATGCGTCTTTATTCATTCTTATATGCGCATTTATTCATTTTTATATGCGCAATCATTCTTGGATGCGTTTTGCAAAAGCAATTGTAAAAAGGCAATTTGAACATTTTTTTCAAAACAAATTTTTCTTATTTCCTGGTAAACGAGGTTAAAAACACTTAAAACGAAGACTTTTTACATTCGATGATGGTTTATTTAATTTAGCATTAGTTCTTTGTTTTTGATAATAGTTTATTTAATTTAGTATTAGTTCTTTGTAATTTTACATCCTTATGGATGGAATGGAAAATAGCAGTACCAATAGTAAAACAAGGAAAAATGTTACAAAAGAGCACATTAAAATGCTTAAGCATTTAATTAAAATAAATAAATCTACAACAAGGATTTCCACTTCTCTTAATTTATCGAAGCGCACACTTGAAAATCTTGTCGTTAAGTTAAATAGAGGATAATTCGACGACATGACTGCATTTAAGTCGTTTTCTGATAAAAAACGAGGTGAAAGACCTATAAACTCTCAAATAAAAAATATTATCGAATTATGCGTACAAGAAAACAATCTTTGCACGCAAGAAGTAATAAAAGAAAATCTTTCTGCAGCAGACTACTATTTCAAGAAAACTCAAACGCACGGATTTATTAAAAAAACGTGCTGTGCATGTGCCAGAAGAACGAAATTCAACACGAATTATTAATGGACGCTATGCATTTTCAAGCGAAATTAACGGAATTTCAAATGAAAAACTTATTTATTTGGATGAAACTGAATTTAATGTGCACACTAACATCACATATGGTTATTCGCTAAGAGGTACGCCAGCAATTTTACAGTCGCCTGCAAATCGTGGCAATAATCTAATCAAAAATTCTTTTTAAAAATATCTTAAATCTTTAAATGGCGCGTTGCTGCAAGATCGCGAATTTTCTCATGAAGAGTATGAAATTGCTTTTTCTTTTTTAAAAAGAATAAATCACCTGGTTTTGATGATGTTTTTAGTAATATAGTTATTTCAAACAAAAAATACATCTCAAAACCTTTGTTCCATATTATATAACTTTCAATAAAAGAAGGAATTTTTCCTGAAGCATTAAAGTTGGCAAAAGTATGTCCAATTTACAAAAAAATTGATCAATCTAAAATCTCTAATTATAGACTTGTATCAGTACTTTCTGTATTTTCAAAACTGTTTGAACGTGTAATTTATAATAGAATCTATAACCATTTTAATGAAAATAATTTATTTTACACAAAACAGTTTGGTTTTCGGAAAAAACATTCAACAGAACACGCAATAATTGAAATAGTAGACCAGTTAGGAATAGTAGACCAGTTAGTTTCAAATCCTTTAGTATTACTAAAGGATTTGAAAATAATAGCTTCACTTTAGGATTATTTATTGACCTATCAAAAGCATTTGATACGGTTGATCGCCTAATTCTTTTGGAAAAAATAAAACACTATGGAGTGATAAATAAAACCTATGATTGGTTAAAAAGCTACCTCACTGAGAGAAAACATTATGTTATTAACAAGGAATTAGGTCAACTTAATATTTTGTGTGGAGTTCCGCAAGGGTAAATTCTTGGTCCATTGCTTTTCTTGATTTATGTAAATGATTTTAATAATGCATCTAAGCTTAACTCAATAATGTTTGTTGACGACACAAATCTCATTCTTTCAAACTGTGATATTAATCAACTGTATTCTGACATGAACTCTGAACTAATGAATGTAGATGAATGGTTTAAGGCAAATAAACTTTCATTCAATGAAGATAAAACAAAATACACTTTATTTCATAAAATCACAAGGTAAAAAACTTATTTTAAAATTACCTGATTTGATTTTAAATGATGCACTGACTAGTAAAAATGATTCAATAAAATTCTTAAGAATTCTTATTGATGAAAATTTATCATGGCTTTCCCATATTAACTATATTCAATCAAAAATTAGTAAAACAATTGGTCTAATGTACCATATTTGTCCATATGTAACATTAGAAAGTCTGAAAATAGTATATTTTGGCCTAATACATTTTTTCATATACTATGCCAATATCACATGGGCTAGTACTCAACCAACAAAACCTAAAAAAATATTTTCATTATATAATCATGCATGCAGACTTATATATATATAAAAAAAATATGAACGTGCAAAACCATTAATGGAAGACATGAAAATGATAAATATATATGAAATCAACATTTACCAACACCTAATTTTTATGAATAAATGTAACAGCTTGATTCCAAAAATCTTTAATGATAAATTTACAATAAATGTAAACAAAAAATAAACCAATGGAATACTTATAAATTACCAAGAATTGATAGTAAGTAATCTGAATATGGAATACCATACCGTGGACCAAAACTATGAAACACTTTTCAAAAAACAAAAAATTTAAATACTGTAAAATTATTAAATTCCTTTAAGTTTATAATAAAAAATGAAATTTTAAAACTAGATAATTAGTTTTCTTAATTTTTCGAAATAAAAAACGAGTTCCATTATTCTTAGTTTTTTTACTTGTTAATTGACTCTTATTTTGATATTTAACAGAGTTACCAATATATTTTAATGAATATTGATAAAACTATATGATGTTATTTACTTTCTTGATTTAATGGAAATATTTATGCAAGCTTTAACCTTTTTATTATATCGGAGATTTTTTTTAATTTGTAAAGCCCACCTAGGGGTTCTATAAAAAGATTGAGATGACTTTAGCCATCCGTATCTTCTTTGAGCCCCTGCCTGTTTATTATAAATTCACTTTTTTTTGTATGTAAACGTTTCTTTATAATTATATTTCTTATTATATAAACAGCAAATATATATTAAATAAAAAAAAAAAAAAAAAAAAATTAGTTTACTTAGTGCTGTTTCAACAATTGGAGTGCTTGCTTATAAAACAAAAACTGGAGGCTGGAGTGCAGATTCATTTTGTACTTTCATAACTACAATGATGGCACCAGCGATAAGGAATTCAAATGTGGAAGCGCCGGTGCTTGTTATGGACAATTGTAAGTTCCACTGGAGTCTTTCTGTTAGTCAAACACTAGCCTCTCATGGTATAGCTATTAAGTATCTGCCATCATACACGCTACAGCTTAAACCAATGAAAGAATTTTTCTTCTTCTTTAAAATATACTTACAAACAGGGAGAAAGGCCTCGAAATACGGATGAGGTAATCACGAATCTTCAAAATATTATGGATACTACAGAGTTTAATATAGTTCCATTTTACAACCATATGCGTAGTTACATAAATCCAGTGCTGGCTCGGCAACCATTTCTTAAATAAATAACAATGAAAACAACCTAATTTATATTTTAAATGTATCTTTATAAAAATTTAAAAGCGTATTTATTGTTTATATTAAATTATTTTAGAAATTTTATGGGTGGTTGACGCATATATAAACGCGCAAATAAGAATGAATAAACACGCATATAAGAATGAATAAATGCGCATATAAAAACGAATAAATGCGCATATAAGAATGAATAAATGCGCATATAAGAATGAATAAGTGCGCATATAAAAATGAATAAATGCGCATATAAAAATGAATTGACGCCCATATAAGAATGAATAACCCTGTAAGTGCACTGTCATCAGTTTTGTTTTGGGGGTTCAAAACTTTCCCTCAGTGTAATAAACTTTGAAATTATTTCAGTCATGCTTATATACTTATAACAAAAAAATAATAACGTAGCAAAAAAGATTTCTAAAGTTTAAAATAAAATATTAAAGTTTTCTCATTTTATAGAAATTATTATCACTATTATCTCTATATAATGCAAACTCAACATATGCTAAAGACGTTTACATTTACAAACGTTTGTACGTAACGCTTTACAAATAAGACTAAGAAGATCTTAGACCTCTAAAATATAGCTATAAAAAAAGTGCATTCTAATGATTATTATTAAAAACTAAAGAATAATATAACCTTAAACTATAAGCTATTAAACGCCTATCTAAAAGTTAGGCCAGAAATATTTTGCGCATTGACGTCGGTTTGTGGCAAAATAAACCTTTATACGTCAGGTTTTCTTTTTTCCATTTTACATTTTTTGATTGATGAATTTTAATTGTTGTATA